GTATTGACCTTGCTAGTCAGCTAAGGATTTTGATGAGACATAATTTTAGCAGTGTGTATGTTTGATGTGTGTATTTTCATTCACAGTCCAAGAATAACTTACAATTAATTACCTTTCCTCAAGACAGCTTTAGAATTTTACTGTAGTGTTTTATGTTGATTTTCACTCATTTTAAATTAAATAATACATGTAAGTAGTGAAAGTCACAATTTTACTTTTCACGCAAAGGTATGTAATGTAAACTCTTGTTTTCTCAAAAACGCACAGAAGATGTCCTTGTATTCTTTTCAAAGCTGGAGATAAATGGAAGAAAGTTGAATGTCGGATGAAGAAATGAAAGAGGAACGATTTGCTCTATTTAACACAGAAATTTTCCTTTGACCGATAAACAAGAACTAAATATAATTATCAAATTGTCACGGAACAGCACAGTCTGTTGCCACCTTTGGCATTAACAATAAAACCACTTAAATTCAAAATATACACACTGATATTGATAAATACAACTGAGGTGCATTTCAACAAGAAGTACTGAAAGTAAACAGCACTACTTGACCAAGATTATCTCCTTCATCAGTGAATGAGTCCCCTCAAAGACTGATAAAATTTTTGCTTCCAGTAGGTGCCACAGAGTCTGCAGTGATATTTGAGCAGTTTCCTGGGTTTCTTTGTACAATTTGACAAGTTTTAATGCCACTTACTCGGGAAAGTTTTGGTTGCGGGTATGAACATTTTGGTCTGTTTGATAGAGACAAAGGATGAAATAAATGCACTAGTGTAGTTTGGAAACATCAGATGACATTTCTTGAACCAAGTTAGGCGTAATTCCAAAAGACACGCAGTCACAGTAGCATTCTTGTATCGCGCTAACGATGCTAGAACACGTGCGTATGACTTGTTTGGGTTCTACCACAAGGAAAAGCGCTCAACGTTAGTGTGTGATCTTGTATGACATGTATCTTCTACCTGAAATGTAGTTGACATTAACGCTTATTAATCTGCACATGCATTTAGAGCAAATATTGGTTTTGCTCTAAAGAGAAAAGTACCACAAGGAGAGCAAGAGGTTCTCTGAAACAAATATATAGCTTTTTGAAGCGACCAAAGAAGTAGTGTAGGTACATATACCACTCATTTTACGTAGTGCTCACAAGTACCTACCGCATCCTCCCCACTTCCTGCAAGCCAAATTAATTAATTGAAATTAATTAATTAAACACACATCAATGTTTACACCTTATTGCCATAGTGCCTTATTACCATAGAGCTTTAGCGGACATCTGTATCACCCATTAATGTAATAACCAACCACTAATGTAATAAAAATCAACCACTAATGTAATAAAAAAGCTAACCACTAATGTAATAAATTTTTAACCACTAATGTAATAAAGGAGCTTACCTTTAATGTAATAAACATCCAAAGAGTAGAGATTTCATCTCATTTAGTACAGTATTGTTTGTAAGTTCAATACTGTCCATAGTATGTCGTCATAGGTGACATAACCGAATCAAATTTAGTTAAATAAACCTCTTTAATAAAACTTCAACGGATGTCTAGACCCCCCAAAAGACACAGGGTGTGCCAAACTTGGTCTATCCCTGCCATGAGGGATGACTATGTCCATCAATGATATTTCACCAGAAGCAAACTCAGACATAGATGCTAACAAGGTAAATAGAGGCATCCATTAATATTGTTAGGTATAGGTAATAGTATAGGTAATCATACAGTTTCAAGTTCAATTTGGAATTAATTTGCACAAGTGAGTTTTTCAAAAAGCTGAAATTGCACGAGCCGCTTCAGCGAGTGCAATATCAGCTTTTTGAAAAACTGACAAGTGCAAATTAATTCCAAATTGAACAAGAAAGAAAGTATGATTACTTATTAATAATATAAGCATGAAAAAATTTGCGTGAAGGAAGTGCCGGAAGCCCTTTCTTGAAGCCATTTTTTCTCATTTGAGAAAACTTTTCTCAAAGTTTCTGCACAAAATTTTCCTCATCATTTTACGTAATATCATTGGCTTCAAAAATTTCCTATTGTCTTTCAGCCAATCATAATCCAAAATTATGATGTGTAATTTGCACTGGTGTTACACTTTTTGCACTTGTGTTACACTTGAACTGCACTGCTCTCAGCCAATCAGAATTGAGTAATTTTTTCACGTATATTATTATTTCCATAACTGAGCACAACAGACAATCACATTTTATCAAAGTTGTTAAAAGGGTATGATGGTCATCCATGAATACGATATCATATGTGAGTAAACTACCTAATTGAATGGAACTCATCCCAATGAACACATAAATTATGGCAACGAACTTAAATCTTTCAGTAAAGGGAACTTCTCTTTTAGAGAAACCAAAGGGCCAGGAAAAACTGCGTATTATAGAGATAGAGGTGATGTCATTCCGGTGCTAATGTTAGAACAAAAAGGCTGTTTTCAGAATATCGTGCTTTTAACTAATTATGCTTATAAAAGTAAATACTAACAAAATTGCAATACTTAAACCGCTAAAAGACTCTGTCATTGAATTCTAAATAAGGAGTGTACTTCTTTATTCATCAGAAACACAAAGTGCATAATTTTATTGGATAATGCACATTACAAATCAATCGAGCCTTTACAGTAACTACCATTTTCTGTTTAAACAGAATGGCTGCATGCTATTTTAAATTGATGAAACTCAACAAATTTTCCAATGGCTTTGAAAACAAACAGGAACTTTTGAAACAACAAAACACTGTAGCAATATCTCAAGGTTTACTTTTTCTTCCATTTTATGCTGCGAACACACATCCATGCAGGGACACCAGTGAATATAAAAAATACACCAAGCATAAATCCATCTGTTGCATTCAATCTCTTTAGTTCTTGAATAACACTGCTCCCTCTTCCAAACCTTTTGCAAAGGCTCAAAATACTGTGCCATCCAGGGACCATATCCTTTCTGATATGAATGCGAGGAAGTCTGTTTCGGTAGGGTAAAACAATTAATTCATCGGAACAACAACAACAACACTTTATTATGACAACTGTACCCTGGCATTCACCAGATCTCTATTCCTTGCACCAAATATAATGAACTTGAAAATAATGTCAACGATTCTGTCCAGAACCATCTGCAGACATTGAATAAGCAACTGTACCCATCCACCAGATCTCTATTCCTAATGCGCCAAATATAATGAACTTGAAAATCATGTCAACGATTTCGTCTGGTAGAACTCCGAACAATCCTTCGCTTGATGTAGCCATAGAACTGCTTGGCAGATGCATTCTCTCTGTAAGTACGTTTGGCATGCTTTCTCCAATTTCAGCACGTGTTGAAGCTATGTTAACATTGTCATTTTGATATTTATCATTTTCGTTCCTTTCTGATACTTCCACTTGGCTTTGGCCAACTTCAGGTTCTCTTTCATCTCTAATTCCCATGCCACTTTNGGTGACTTCATCGTTTAGCAAAACAAAAGGTTTCTTTTGTTTTTTGCTCAACAAAAGATCTCCAAAAGATTAATATACATGTAACCCCTGGAAAACTGAGTTTTTTGCATACGTTATTTCTCGAAAATGAAGCGCAAATCAACAAAACAATTATGCAACAATGCTTTTCATGTCAAAACAAGCCTGTCTGCCAAAAAGTAGCTCGATCCTGCAAAAAATAAAAATCGGCCCAAAATGCTACAGTGTATGTATGCCCTTTTTGCAGGAAAGCCTTCAATTGATTGCCAACTTACTCTTCAGCTTTTTCTCTTTATGTAAACTTATGTTAATTAATCAGATGTTGTTATCACAATGAGAGTTAAGAAGAATAAAAACTTTTAGATTGTCATACATGCATGTACATTTGTATCACTGTTGATGAATTAAAGCAGTGGATTGGAATAGCTGATGGGGTGTTGGGAGGCTGTATTTATCACAGTAGTATTGATTCTCCTATTTTGTTTTCCAATTTTTCAGAACAACAATGCTGCTGGACACCCTGTATTAATACATACACTGTATTTTACACAATTAACTTCACCTTACCCCAGCTAACATCATTCTCTTCCCTTCTCTGAAAGCCCATTCGCTAAGATTCTTCTGACGGAGCACATTTCCATCGTCATCTGTTGAAAAAGTGAATTATTGCTCATTGCGAGAGTAATTTACATCTAAATTGATACATTTCTTTGAGATGTAAAAATAAGGACTTGCTTGATAATTACAGAAACTTGAGTGACCAGTCAATTTCTCACTAATCTGAGCAGCATGTGAGACTGTTTAACAATAGTCATCTTTAAATAAAAATAATCATGTAACAGTATGATAACACTGGCATACTATAACAGAGGAAGTCACTTTCAAATACTGACAGCTCCGTGAATAGTAAATTACAAGAATGACAATGCTTGGCTGCACTTGAATCTGAGATACAATTAATGTGTTTCAGAGTTTGTTCAGGCAGTGGATCTCAGTTATTATACCACTCCAGGCAGATAAAATAAGCAAGAACTACTTAACAACTAGATTTCATGTTACCGTACATCTGTTCAGTAATAGAACACAGATGACGTCAAAATGCGGTAAGAACAAAAAAGTGGCACAAGAGGCGATAGCCGAGTGTGTCACTGATGTTCTTATCACATTATCACGTCTTCTGTGACCTGTTACTGATGTACAGCAACATGAAACTTATTTGTTTCATATAATAAAGAAACAAACTACCACAGAAAAATAGAGTAGTGGTAGTCAGGAGCTAACATTGTAAGATAATGGTTTGACACTGACTTTTTCTTTTTGGTGTTTCAAAACATCAAAAAATAGTCAGTGTCAAACCATTATCTTACAATACTACCGAAAAAGCCTTTTTATTTCAAAATATTTCAACACATAAACTCAAAAGTTGGCCCATTGCCCACTTTGACAAACACGAAAATAGTAATTTGATGAAATCTATTGTCTCCATCTCATTGGTTGCTATGCATAGCAAAGAACTAGTTTGATCAGGGGAATCACGGCACTGTCAAACTTGAATCAAGAGTTGCTTCTTGTGGAATGAAAACTTACAGCAAAAGCAGAATTGGACAGCAAAATCCCCAAATCTTACACAAAAATATAAATAAATGCTAGAAATTTCAGGTCAGTTTTTGTCATCAGAGCACCCCTGTGAGCAGAAAAATCTGGAAGTTGTTTTGAGTATTGGAGGAGTTGAAAAATACACTCGGAAAACTTGCAGTTGCATTGGAAAACTTGTGGTAAGCATTGGAGGCCATTTGAGTTAAGTTTTGAATGAAAGGAGCATTGGTGACCTTAAAATTGTGTCTTCTGTGGTTGGTGATTCTCAAATCAATTTGATATAGTTTGCAAGACGCTTTCTAGCTACGATACAGTTGGCCATAAGTTGTTCTGAGCTATACTTTGTTCACTGCTGTGCCCTGAAATAAACTGGAACATTCGCATCGGAAAGCAAGGTTACACATGTATGTGTTTCTTTTAACTGATTTAAAGATGTGGTGTTGTGATGTTTCATTCCTGACATCAATCTGTGCCAACAATTATTTTGAGACTGAACTAGTGAGACAATCTCAGATAGTGCAGAGTGTAATGTATAGCTCTGATGCAGTACTCATAACACAGTTCGTATATAACCCTGCAATTCACTCCTGGTTTGTATTGACCTTGCTAGTCAGCTAAGGATTTTGATGAGACATAATTTTAGCAGTGTGTATGTTTGATGTGTGTATTTTCATTCACAGTCCAAGAATAACTTACAATTAATTACCTTTCCTCAAGACAGCTTTAGAATTTTACTGTACTGTTTTACGTTGATTTTCGCTCATTTTAAATTAAATAATACATGTAAGTAGTGAAAGTCACAATTTTACTTTTCACACAAAGGTATGTAATGTAAACTCTTGTTTTCTCGAAAACACACAGAAGATGTCCTTGTATTCTTTTCAAAGCTGGAGATAAATGGAAGAAAGTTGAATGTCGGATGAAGAAATGAAAGAGGAACGATTTGCTCTATTTAACACAGAAATTTTCCTTTGACCGATAAACAAGAACTAAATATAATTATCAAATTGTCACGGAACAGCACAGTCTGTTGCCACCTTTGGCATTAACAATAAAACCACTTAAATTCAAAATATACACACTGATATTGATAAATACAACTGAGGTGCATTTCAACAAGAAGTACTGAAAGTAAACAGCACTACTTGACCAAGATTATCTCCTTCATCAGTGAATGAGTCCCCTAAGAGACTGATAAAATTTTTGCTTCCAGTAGGTGCCACAGAGTCTGCAGCGATATTTGAGCAGTTTCCTGGGTTTCTTTGTACAATTTGACAAGTTTTAATGCCACTTACTCAGGAAAGTTTTGGTTGCGGGTATGAACATTTTGGTCTGTTTGATAGAGACAAAGACTGTACCCTGGCATTCACCAGATCTCTATTCCTTGCACCAAATATAATGAACTTGAAAATAATGTCAACAATTCTGTCCGGAACCATCTGCAGACATTGAATAAGCAACTGTACCCATCCACCAGATCTCTTTTCCTAATGTGCCAAATATAATGAACTTGAAAATCATGTCAACGATTTCGTCTGGTAGAACTCCGAACAATCCTTCACTTGATGTAGCCATAGAACTGCTTGGCGGATGCATTCTCTCTGTAAGTACGTTTGGCATGCTTTCTCCACTTTCAGCACGTGTTGAAGCTATGCTAACATTGTCATTTTGATATTTATCATTTTCGTTCCTTTCTGATACTTCCACTTGGCTTTGGCCAACTTCAGGTTCTCTTTCATCTCTAATTCCCATGCCACTTTGTTGATCTATGACGTTTTCATTTGTCTCTGACATGCCACAACCATCGTCTTGCTTGTTTTCTGTTTCGTCCCTTATATGATACGAATAAGTTTCTGTTAAATGCACGTAGTGCATGCCATGATCCTCACTAAAATGTCCAAGCGCAAACATGGCACCAGGTTCAGAATCGTGGGGTACAATATGGGTTGCGTGGTCCTCAGCCGATGAGGATATTATGTCAAGTTGAATCTGATACAAGTTAGCTATGGCTTGCAGAGTCAACTGATCACCGTATGTACCATTGGTTATCATTTGCTACAAGTAATCACTCCATGGCACACCTACGAAGAGTTCAAGAGGCATTCCATCTGGTGCACTGTCATGCTCTTCCAAATATTTTTGCACACTTCATCCCTTAGTGTCTCTGGTGAACGTAAAATTCCAATATTTAGAAGATGATGCGCAACAGTGGCAAACTGACAATTTCCATTGCCAGGAGGGTTGTAGGTTACCTTGTATCCCTGATTTTCAAATTCTTCGTATGTTTCTTTTGTTGTCAAACTCACGTGATGGAGAGAAGAAACAGCTGAATTTTTATCTAGAGATTTCTTCCTGGCAGCTGCTTTCTTCCTTTTCGCTATTTCCTTCTTATTATTATTTTTCTTCAGCCACTGTCAGACTTGTTATGTCTTTCACAGAGACCCACAGGGTGATATCACAATGTGTTTCTGGATGCTCATATATGACCTTGTAACAGAACAGTTTCAAGTTTCTTTTGACAATTTTTCCTTGGATGACATAACGCCTTTTAGGTGCAGCTTTTGAAATGCGAGAAAACGGGTGTAACCAACTAGGACTATTTCTCCAACTGAATAACGTCAACAGGGGATTGTTTCTCATTCTTCTATCTATATAACACTTATCCCAAATATGACTTGCTACTTTAGCCTTATTGCCTATTTTGGAGCATTTGTGTGCATTTTTCTTAAAATCTTTCTTGGTGGGGGTGCGTGATGCCTTTCTACTTTTGCGTACGCATCGTCCCCCTTGTGCAACATTTGTCACAGCATTTGATTCTCTGCCATAAAAAACTTGAAATGGCGACTGACGCCCAAGGGCTTCCATTGATTCTTCATTTTGTAGTTTTTGGTATTCTTTCAGTTGGATTGCCCAGTTCACAGCATTTTTATTGAGATGTGCCATGTCAAATGATATTTTCTTTCGTAGAGCTCGGTGCGACCTCTCAACTTTACCTTGAGATTGAGGATGGTAAGGTGAGCCTCTAACTATTTTCACAGCAAGCTTTTCACAACGTTTCCATACAGCTTTCTTGAACTCCACTCCGTTGTCTGCCTGTAGCACCTTAGGTGGCCCAACTTCCATGTACAAGTCTGCAAGAGTTGATGCAACTTCTTTGCTAACTTTACTTGAAAGGGCATGTAGCCACAAGAAGCGACTAAAGACATCTTGCACTGTGAGAATGTATTTAAACGTTTGGCCATTGACTAAAACTGGTAGTTTGCTCATATTAACGAGGTCTATATGATGACAGACCTTCAAAGAGAAAAAATTAAAACTGGTAAGCCGAACAGCAGATTTAATACAGTCATGTAGCTTATACAAATCATTGAAATTATATCACTACAAAGACATCGTCATGTCAGTTGAGTGAAGTCGGTCATTTTGACTAATTGAAATCACAACATATGATTTACATATAGCCTCTACCATACCCTAAGTTTGGTTATTTAGTAATGACTCGATATGACCCACTGAAGAGGAGTTATATTACACAGGGATTCCATGAGTATTGACAAGCCCCAAAATAGTCTCCATTACCCAGATCTCTCCCAGTCAAAGACAAGATCCAGAGAACGGTCTCGGAAATTGCTAACTGATACAATTTTGTAAAATTCAAAATAATTTGGGTCAAAGTGCAATTGGCCCACTTCAAAATACGTCATTTTTACATCCAGGTCACCTGGTTTCACGTGGTTCGCTGCGCTCACTCATGAAATTTTTCAACAGTCGAAGAGAAATTTCTTACCTCCAAGTGGCCATGTAGTGTTTTAATTATAATATCAATACCAATGAAATCGCAAACCATTTCACTTTTGCTACAAAAGGTCGCCATTTATTACAAAACCATAGCAATGGTGATCTTTTCACATGGGATGATAACATGTTATTTTCATGTGTGAAGATATCATGTTTTTGCGCAAACGCTCAACTGGTATTTCGTCGGTTTTTATATTCAAAATGTATACTGTAAAGACTTGTGTATAAGCCACACCTGTTTGCTTAAGTTTCGGGCCAAAAATCGTGGGTGTGGCTTATACACGAGACCATTGCTTTCACAGGGAGTAAACTGGCTTGTAGGGGCCAAAAATTGCACTAAAAACTTTCAGTGAATAAAGATTAAACATATTGAAACCTGTTGTTGATCATTGCTTTCGGCAGAAGTGGTGGCTCCTAAAG